GCTTGCTTGGGGGCAAAGACCAAGGCCAGGCTTTTTGGGAGCGCTCAGGGCTCATCTCCCTGGCCTGGTGGGGGCGTGTTGCAGGGTAGCAGTAGGCAATGCTGCCTTCCTCTGCCTTCCTCCTCACTCCTCTGCCTTTCTCTGCCTTCCTCCTCCTTCCTCTGCCTTTCTCTGCAGGGTCTGCTAGTGCTAAGCTGCTTATCTGAGCTCCAAACATTGGCATGCCTGCTTGGACAGACCCTAGCGCTTGGAAAATCGACCTGAACATGGGAAATAGTTTGTGCTCTCTCTCCTTTCCTATTTTCATCCAGCCTTGGAGGCTCAGCTGGAGGCAGAGGGTATGGCGTTTCAGGTCTCCATCTGCCCCAAGAGCACCTCGGACACAGGCCGTGTCCAAGGGTGGGAGCCATAGAACCCCAGGACTGGGAGAGCTCATGGGGAAGCATGGCTGTACTCCTGTGCTGCTCGTGGACACTCCTTGCCAGGAACCCCTGGGAGACAGGATCTTTTGGTACAGCCATTCCTATACCAACAAGCCAGGGAATGATTTCCACACCAGCAAATCATGAGAAGAAGATATTCTGTGCTGCTCTAGCTTGGCTTAGGCAGAGAAGTTTGGTATTTGAGCTATGAACCCACGGAGAAGTACCACCTTGGAGCCAGAACCCTTAATCCGAGTCCCATGGATTAAGAGAAAGCTGCGTTAAGAGAAACCACACACACAACCTCCCCTCCCAAATCCCACTGCCTTTGGGAGTTGGTTAGATGGTGCCTGGCAAAGGACTGAGGCTTGAAGGCAGGGCTAAGGATATGGGAATGGTGGTGGGAAAAAATAAATTGCTTAAGATAAACTGAGATGGAGCTGATACGGTTCAAGGACTGGACACCAGGACATAAACCAGCCTGTGATGGCCAGAAAAAACAGACCTGCCGCAATGAAGCTCTTTTACTCTTCTCTTCCCTAACTACCCAGTTTCCAGCTGCCTCCTGATTAAGCTGGGTGCAAATATCTCCAGCACCTCAACCCACCGCGCCTGTGGTAGCAGAGAAGACAGTGCGTTTGGTGAAGTCAGGGGATGCGAACCCCTACCTGCCAAGAACCCATCCTGGGAGGGAACTATCAACACGTTTTCTTCCCAAAGATGTCTTTATGCTGACGTGTTGTTTCTCTAAAGATGTGTTTCAAGCAAATATTTCATGGAACTATTCAAAATATTTCTGAGGTTCAGGCAAAGCCATGGAAAAAGTCCAAAATTCCCATTAACAAAATGATTCCTGCATGGGAGCAAAGCTGGGTCGGGCTCCAAACATGAGATAATCCTCCCTAGCCAGGTGCTCCGCGGCAGGGGAAGTGCCGGATCGGTGTGGGGATGCTTGGCAGCGCCAAGTGCGCCAAGTGCCGTCCGAGGGCATCTCCATCCAGCGATTCGGTGCTGCTGGAGCCTGTCTGGTGCAGGAGGGGGTTGCTGGGGAGCTCTGCCAGCTGAGTCTGCAAAACCCTTGTGAAAACACTGAGCTGTTGCAGCTGCATCTTTGGCAAGAGCATCTCCGCTCCTTCATACCAGAGAGGCTGAACTCCCTACCCCTAACTTGAAAAAATACTAAAAAAAAAAAAGGCAAGTGGTGATTTTGGAGGCACAGCCTTGAGAAAAGGTACTTGGCAAATACCCAACTCAGGGACAGGTCTCCCAAATCATTGATGAAAAGATAAACCCTCCCAGTAGCGCAGTGCAGGGCATCCCGGTGGGGCCACCAAAGGAGAGGTGCCACCTCCGGGCTTAAATGATGCAGGATCAGGCCCCGAGCAGCCAGAGGGATTTGCTCTGAGAAGCTTCTTTCTTAGGACATCCCATTTATTAACAACAGGGCTTTCAATTCTCTTCCTTGTTTTGGAAAAAGCGTGCGTGTGGGTGCTACAGGACACAGAAAAAGAAACCACTCGAAGACAAATCCCAAGTGATCCATCTCATTTTCCACCTCCCTTGCTAGCTCCCCTGCAGTCGTCTTTCTCCTCCTGTTATTTATGAAACCCTGGACCCTTCGGAGGCATCTGCACCCCCTGGATATCTGCAACCAGGGAGTCTCCACCAGAGCTCGGCTGCAGAAACCGGGGCCCCAGTGCTATCCGAGTAAGACAGCACCACTAAAAGCGAACCTCGTTGGGTTTCTTTTGCCCTTCCCTTCGCTGTGGTTCAACCTGAGACAGAAGGGCAGCTGCACTGTAAGCCAATATTGATAGCAAGGGCTGCGTGGTTTCATACCAGCGAGGCCATTAGATATATTATTAGGCAGCACAAGCTGGGCTCAGGAATCCCGGCTGTGGGATTCCAGCTGGAAGGCTCCTCCATGCCCTAATCCCCGCCGGGAAGGTGGGGAAGCGGGACAGCCTGCCAGCTCTCCCCGTTACATGAGCCGCCCAGGGCCAAAACCGCTCGGCCGTCTCTTTGCCAGGCTGCCGCTTCTCATGGGGGACCGCGTTCAAAAAGCGGAGAAGCCAGATATTGTGTTTCATGGGGCTGTTTTCCAGCTTTTTTGGCGGAGGGGGAGAGAGAATGGTGCGGTGTTAAGTATCACCTCTGAGTCTGATGCGCTCGTGTGTTCCCGCTCACATCTGGCCTCCCGTTACCACCAGATGTTGGAAATCCTCCTCCACGCTCATGTCAAGCCTCAGCATCTGGCCCCGTATGTGACCTCCAGTAAGTCCCATGAGTGGTTCTTTCTTTACCTGGACAAGTTTGTCGATGCCAAGAGCTCGATCCAGCTCGGCCAACTCCGTCTCGTCTTTGCCGCTGAGGAAGGAGACGAGCTGCTCGAGCAGGGCTTTCTCGTCGTTCCGCCCCTCTGGCGTGGTGGGAGGACACAGGAGCTCGTCCAGCTGCGAGGTGATGCACTGGCTGCGGAGAGAAGAAGTCAAGAAGAGGCACGTTAAGGTTCGTGAAAGAAGGAGGAGGCTGTGCTGGAAGGTGCTCGAGCGCTAGAGACCCTGCAGCCGTGGGGACTCGCTCCCACCCCGCTGCGTCATGCAAAGCCCACGGGATGCTGCCTCGTCCCCCGGCTCCGACACTGGCTGAGCCCGCTGAAGCTCAAGCCCTGTGCCAAAACCTGCTTGTAAGGATGAACCTCTCCACGAAACGAAGCTCGGACAGTGTTTTGGTAATGTTTGGGAAAGAAACTTTGGTGCTTTTGCAGGCTTTGGTCCCGCAGGCGTTTTGGGGAGGGCAGCGGGAGGCAGAGCAAAACTTCTGCCGGCACGAAAGGGGGAAGGCTTGGATGGAGCTGGAGCAGCTGGAAGCAAAGCAGCTGAAGGCAAAGGAGAACCTTTGAGCTGCGAAAAGAAGATTTCTGCAAAGCTCACTTGATATTCTTTGGGAATAAGATTAATATGTAATGAGAGACATTCCAATGACGTGACTAATTGGAGTCAATCGGATTTGCCGGGTCTGACACGATGGAGAGAGCCGTGGCACATCACGCTCGCAGAGAGGCACAAAGGCGAGGGCTTGAACATGCCAGCAGTTCCCGAGCAGCAGACATGTTTATCCTTTTAGCTCCAGATGAGGACCAGATGTACAGTAAGGAACTGAAGCCAACCTGACTGGGACCGCTGCAGCCAACACACGCAGCCTAATCCAGAGAAAAGAAATACTCGGCGTTGGGATTTCTTAAATTGCAGAGCAGGAGCAGAAAAGGAAGCAGGGAGACGGAAGGTGAAAAGCAGGGCTAGTTTCGCTCTGTAGCCAAAGGCTCTGCTACTCGATGCTTTTATCCAACCCAGTTTTTCGGTGCCAAGGCCAAAGGACAAAGTTTGCCGCACAGACATTGTTCATGCAGGGGAAGGGGAGGATGGGCTTCTTCTCTGCGTGAACAGGCAGCTAGTGGAGAAGTTCAGGTTGGCACCATCTCTTCAGCCCATGCCGGACCTCAGCATGGATGGCAAAAGTTGGGTTATGAAGAGATGGTGGAGACAACACAGCCTTTATGTAGTAAAGAAACCTCCGGCACGTCCTGCTTTGCAGCCCAATCCAGCTTGCAGAGCCTTCCCCGCTCCTCTCCTCCAGCACCATGGTGGGGTTCAGATGAGTCTCTGGGCAGGTGATGGAGGGACAGAGGAGATCCTGGACCCCGTGCACCATGTCCCCAGCCATACTGGTTTCGTATTGCAAAGGTTTTCTGTCTCACATAACCCTTCAGGCTTTTTTTAAGGCAAAAACTCTGATTCTTCGTGCAGTGGGGAGAAGAAATTCAGCTGCTTGCAGAGATGGTGTCAAACACTGCTTGAGAGCCCGTAAAACATCTCCCTGGCATGGCCTCCAAGCGCTGCTCCAAAAGGCTGCAGATCTCCAGCCCTGCACAGATGTCCTAGAAAACTCAAGCATCTCAGCTGGCCCTGTGTGACAGCGTGTAGGCAACTGAATCGGGCCCTGGGTGGCATGTTTGACCTTGGGGGATTAGAGGAACACGTGTGAGAACAGCGACCTGGGCTTGGTTCAAGGAGCCTTGGCCCTGGCCCAAGGTGTCCCTCTTCTGCAGAAGACATAGGAGCACTTATGCTTCGGACACGAGAGACAGGACATTGTAGTTGTCCCACTTCATCAAGAGACAAAGGCACAGGAGGATTTGGAGAATGGGAGGATTTGGAGAAAAGGAAGCTCCTGTTCCCCAGGACACCCAGTGCTGGGAGATCTGGGCACCACCAGCTCCTTAAACAAGGCCAGGACCTCAGCCCACCTCCGTCTAACACGAACCTCCCAGCTGGGAAGCCTTTACAACCCCCAAAGCAAAAGCTCCACTGGTTTGATCTTAGCTAAAATATATTTCTCAGTCCTGTAATATCTGCAGTCCAACGATTCTATCTGCTTGCTCCAACTGCAGTCTCCATCGGGTGGACAGGCAACTGCTGGGACCATGGGCATCTCTCAGGACAAGCGTGTCCTCCCCAGCTGGAGCACATCTGCAGGTCTTGAGGACCCAAGTCCAGAGGCTTTTCCCCAGCAGAATCTCTTCTCTCGGCTGCAGTGGAAGCAGGGTTTTGTAGTTGATCACCATGCCACTAGATGGAAGTGTTTAGACCCCATCAGGATGCTACCAAGGCAAGTCTCACCCATGATGCTCCATCAGATCTACAGTTACTGAAGATACAAGAGGGAACTGAGCTGGGAACCAACTTCTTCCGGTGTTGCCTCTGCCAACCACCTCTGGCAGGAACCACCCGTGCCCAGAGATCCTAATTCAGGAGGAACGGAGGCTCACTAGGACGAGCATCTAGCTCTCATCTTGCTGTCATCTTACAGCCCCAGTCTATGTGTTGGCTCTTCTGGTGGCTCCACTGCGTGGGAAGCTGATGAAGCCATGGGAAATCCCACCATGCAGCATGGTTTTCCTTGCTTTCTCCCCCCTCAATGCTGAGAAAATCAAATACTACCTTGTAAAAAACAGCAATTTTAAAGCGTGGTTGAAACCACCGCTCTCCAAAGGCAGGGACTGTGCGAGATTTGTTACCTCCACGTCTCACCAGGCTTCGGGCAGATGCCGCGGCTCCATCGGTCTGACCTTCTCCTGGCACAGGGCTCTGCCCTGAAAATCACTCAAGGTGGTTTTCCCACCCCAGGACTCACGGGATGCTGCTGCCAAACGTTTCCCTTCTGCACGGGTCCCAAACCTTCCATGCCAACCTGGGTCCTCACTCAATAATCCTGCTGCAAAGGGGGAGCCAGAAGAAAATCCAGCTCCTTTCCTCCCAGCCGTGCTGGCTGGCGAGACAAAAACCTCTTCAGCCAGCCAACCTGACTCAGTGCTTGGAGCACAAGGCTGCTGATTAAGGTAAGGTCATTTTTACCCCATGAACAGCATTTTAAGGAACATTCGTAGCTTAAAAACCAGCTTGTTTTTTTTTTTTTCTAGCAGCTCTGTCCTTTGCCAGGTATGCCCCACAGATCTTATCCTGACAACGTCATGACACCGGCAAGGCTTAAAAGGAAAGTTGCTTCCTTGTGGCAAGGACTTGGGCTGATGTAAATGCTCAGTTAAATGGGGATTTGTTTCATCTCCCAGCTCTTTCAAGCAACAAGAGGCTGAGTCTTTCCAGCAGAAGTCCAAGAGCCAGTTGCAGGAGTGGAGACCACTTAGGCAACTCTCTTCTTGGGCTCAGCGAAGAGCTTTGAGAAATTAATCCAAATTTAGCCCCGAGAAAAAAAGATGTTTGACTACCGGCTCTTACACATGTCTTCTTCATGACTGGAAAACAGACTGTGCTCATCCGCTAAAGACTAATTAATAGAAGAAATTCTGCCTCTCCGCAAAGCGGGGCTGGGCTTTGGCAAGAGAATCCTTGCAGAGCTCATCAGTGCTGGCTCTTAAACCATGTACCTGAGGCCCTCCCTGAGCCCGGGGGAGGATTCACCTCCCATTGCAGCAAATCTATCTCCATGAGTGCTTTGAGGTGCCCCTTGCCTGGCAGGGCATCGACTGCCCAGCTCCATCCGCAGGGCTTGCCACCTTTCTGACCTCCCGTCCCAAAATATCTGACCTACGATCTCCTCCAATCCATTTATAGCCAAGGAGCGACATTGTACTTAAGGCAGGTGATGACCCCTTGGCTGCTCCATGGGGCATGGACCCAAAAAAGGCGGTCAGAGGACCCAGAGGGGGTTATTTGACCTTGGATTAGAGCTGTGATGATTTGAGGCGAGGCCAAGCACATAGGGACTGCAAAGAGCTGCAATCATGTGAAAACACAAAACTGTCTCCTGGTTCTCCAGATCCCACCACTGCCCGTGGTGAGAAGGGATGCTGGAGAACACCAACCCAGATATTGGCACTGGCAAGGGGTAGAGGAGACTTCCAGCATCCTTGGCTCTGCCATGGATAGACGGGATTATTCAGGTCCGGATGTACCCTGGCTGTCTCCCCCAACCCACCTTCCTTGTCTACTCACATGCTTGTCCCTAGAGAGATAACAGATGTCATCTCTCACATTGTAGCACCCTGCACATCCGAGGTCTTGGCACTTTATGGTACTAGCAGCAACCACCACGAGCAGTCGTGCTCATCCCAGCTGGCACTTGCCGGGTTTCTAGGCAGGCAGCAAAGCAAGGCCACATCTCTTTGACCCAGGCAACTATCACCAGGACATCCTGATGTTCTCCTAGGAAAGGTCAGGAAGCCGCCAGCCCCACGGTACTTACTCTTCGGTTTTATTCAGCGCGCCTCGGTTCATGGCTGCCATGCTGTTATCTGTCCAGGGGATCTGCTCCCCCATTCCTGGTTGTCCAAACTGGTGATCTGGCACTCCCATCTCCAGCTCA